CATTACACTGTAAGCCCCTCAATTAGAGAGACAGCCTATAATTTCCATAAATAGTTAAAGGATGGGTGGATGGACGGATGGATGGATGGCTGAATCAGATGCGGCCTAGTCTTGACATGTAGGTTATAAGTAGGTAAGGAAGTATAGGTGTGAGGCATTCTGGGAAGTAAGGTAAGTGATAGCTTACTACAAAAAAAAAGCCATTTGTTGTTGGGGTGGGGTGATGGGGAGTGGTGTTAAGGAGACAGAGTACTGAGAAAGCAGGAGTCCTGCCAGTAGCTGAAACCAGACTCAAGGTTGCTTGAAGCAACCTTAGAATATCCTGCCTACTCCACCAACTGGCCTTCTGTACCCCTTTCTCTGTCATTTGATACATGAAGAAATTGAGCCACAGAGAGGGGCAGTGACGTGGTTAATATTGCACAACACCGGAAAAGCCTTGAGTGGAAGAAGGTCTCAACAGAATCACAACAGTTAGGACGTTATATTCGACTCCAAGGTGATGTATACCTGTGTGCAGATTTGTAACTCTGGAGGGGCACATGGGATATCAGGGACGTTAAAAATGAGGGAGAAGTGAAATTGTATTGTACTGTGGAGATAGAATAGGAAATACACAAAATATTTTTCCTTTTCCCAAAGCCTGATACAATCTTGGCACAAAGTATTCATTTCCTGTTTATTGAACTGACTGGGGACTTTGGGTATATGTGCACTGGCCAGACATCCCATACAATAGGATGCAGAATTTCCGGCATGTTCCTGACTTGCTTGCTAACAATTCAATCACCCAGAAGGTCAAGAGAGTGACTCAGGACTTGGTTATTCTGAACCTAATTCTAACCAACAAAGACAAATTGGTTATGGAATTAAAGGTGTCAGGAACTTGGGTGAAAGTGGATATGTCAGTGTCATGTTTGTGAGAGCCAGGGAGAGTTAAGCATAATCAGACGTGTACTCTAGATTATAGAAAACAGATTTTAATAGATGCGGGGTGGAGGAGGTGGGTTTGGGAAATGGCCTGCTCTCATGCATGCAACTGTGGAAGGGAAGATAATTCTAAGGAGAGTTAGACAGTTCTCACAAATGATCCAGTGAGGAAGAGAAGGCAGTAGAATAAACCTGTGGCTACCCAGGATTCGCTTTAATGGGACGCATTTTAAAGAGAACATTCCCACAAAATGCAGGTTAGCATTCACCTTTATGGGGAGGAAATGACAGAGAGAGAGCATGAAGAAAAATTCTGAGGTGCTGGTAATGTTGGTTATTTTGATCTGAGTGCTGGTCATAGGTGTGTGTTTACTTTGTGAAAAATTCAGCAAACTGTATTTAAGATTAGTATACTTGTCTGCATGTATGTTATACTTCAAATTAACTGTGCAATGATTTTTAAGATTTAGTGTATTTCCTTCAGGATTTATTTTTTAAATGCTTAGATTTGCATGTTACTTGTAATAAAAAGTGTACTTTGCTTTATTCATTTGATATTTTCTTATGCATACTATTCCATGTTATTATATGACCCTCATAATCATTTTTGTTAACAGCTTCATAATATTCCACTGCATGGATAGACCACAACTTTCTCTACCATGCCTGTAGGGTTAGACGGCTTTGTTGCTCTTCATTTTCACTTTTATAAGAAACACTGGAACCAAAATCTTTGAATATAAATCTTCTTCTATATTTAAAGTTATTCCCCGAGAATAGATTCTTAGATGTAAAGAGATCAGATTGACTCTCTTTAAGGTCTAGATACATATTTAGAAAATACTCCCAGTGCTGTTAGCCTCATCAAACCCTTGCCCATTGCTATATTCAACAATCATGCACAGAACTGACATTTTCTAATATAGCATTTGCAAAATCTCTTTTCTTTGTATTAATATAAATTTGGAGATCCTACTGACCATCTCTAGTCTCTTGGCACCTCTCCTGTTCTACACAATTTCTCAGTGATGGTCATTGTGGTGCCGCACAGCCATTTGCAGTCCTTCAATTCTCTGGGGGTCGTAATTCCTTTAGCCATCTCAGGCTTCAGTTCACCGACCCTTTAAACCAAAGCAGAGAAATGGAAGCCACCAGGAGTTGAAGAACTTTGCTCTTTCTCCAAACATGGAAATAAAAACTAGTTTGCGCACTTTTCTCATTATTTGCAAGCTTTAACTCATTTGTTACTTAAGTTTTTTTGGCATCACATTTAGAGGATGGCACTTTATTCGTTTCCTCAGTCATTTTTTCTTCTTTCCATCTTCTGGATGTGTTCTTAAGGAAAAAAAAAAACAAAAAATCTCCTTTTTCTTGAAATATCCATACTTCAAATTTCATATGAATATGTCAAATGAATACTTCATATATTTGAACCATGATGTGTCATATTCTTTTAACATTTCTGCATTTTCCATTTCATAAAATAAAACAATTATTTATTTAAAAAAACACTTTCAACATATAAAAAAAATAAGAAAGAGTAAGAAACACTTGTCCCAAAGAAAAAGTCAGGTCCACCCAACCTTCTTTCTTTAAGAGAGTTCTTGCGCTGATAGGTTTTGGAAATGCAGTAGACAGAGTGTCAGTATCTAAAGTAAATTTGACCTTACTCTTAAGCATTTTTGTGGGAAAATACAGCAGTAGGATCTGAGTGTATAAGCCATTGAGAAGACGAGTAACTAGTTAGATAACCAACCAAAGATTATAATGAACAGATGAATGCCAATCTGGAAGAAAGATTCTAGTAGGTGCTGCAGAGCTCTACTATTGGTATTTTCCAGACCATTACTTATATTAATGATCTGGATGAAGTTAGAGAAAAATTATGTCCAAAAACTTGCAGATGGTGGAGAATATGATGATAGGCTGTAGTAATTGAATCTATCAAAGAAGATGGAAGTCAAAGTGGTAAATATGACTCTGTACTTGCATTCCAGAAGTACAACCACATTTATATATGTAGAAGCAAGTTAATGGCAGATTTTTTTTGATGGAGAAAGTTGATGGCACATCTGTTGTGATTAATGAAAAACCAGATGTTGGCTCTGTTAATAGAAGCCCAGTATAAGTAAGGAAAATAGAAAATAGTGATAATCTAGGTAGTCACATATTGACAAGACAACCTGTAGACTGTTGCTTCCTTTCTAGTCCCTTATCATTAAGAGGAACAAACTGGAGGATGTCCCAGGATGAGCAGCTAGTATGGTTCAAAGGACTTGAACTCTTGAGGATTTGTTGAAGAAGAAGAATGTTAATGAACCTGAGAACCATCTTTCAATATCCAGACATCTTTCCTACACAAGCAAGGACAAACTTTCTGTGGTCTGAGGAACAGAATCAAGGCCATTGGGGATAATTACAAGGAGTCATACTTGGGTTTAATAGAACTGACAGTTTCTAGTGTTCAGAGGTGTACATAGATGAAATAGACTCTACTGCAGACATTACCATTTCTTTTTTACTTCTGAGTGCATGAGGACTCCATTTCCCCACCTCACTAACGTTAGGCATGGCCCTATGACTAGTTCTAGCCAATGAAACCTGGGTAGAAGTGAAGTGTCACTTCTGATTCAAATCATTTGATTACCAGTGTTTGACTCTTCATATGAACACTGAAACGTTGTGTTAAAGTGGAGGTTCCAGCCTTGGGTCTCTGAATGATTACAATGATTACAGCATCTTCCAACCACCACTCTCCCCCTCAGACGCAGCCACACATCTACATTGGACATGTGGCTGAGTGGAAAATAAGCCTTTGCTGTTTTTAGCCACTGAAGTTCATGAGTTTTATTACTTCTGCATAACCTTTCCTATCCTGACTAACACAAATGCATTCAAGATGCAGTGCTTTCTTATGAGTGAGCGTAGGCAAGATAAGCATTGGATTCTTGGGACTCACACACTAGCATTCTTTGCCTTTTATTGTGATTGCTACACTACATTCAAATGCTGCTGGGGGTATAACTTAGTCAACTGAAATTTTCAACTGGTTCCCTGGGAGATGATCCCAATAAAATAGGCTAAGCTGATTCTCTTCCTAAGCACACGCTTTTGTAACTCCACTGCATGCCCAGCAACGTCACGAATTCATGGATCCTGTCCACCTGGGAACAGCTAACAATAACTGAATAGTTCACCTAGCAAAGATTCTATTGCCACACAAACACACGCACAACGTTATCCATGAAAACCGTGAGATCCACCAGAGATCTCAGGACCAAAGTGACTTTTTGAACGTGAACTTTGCAGTTTGATCCTTATGCATTCATATTGACTGGGCTGTTGCCAAGCAACTAATTCAGTCTGTGCATGTAGAGGCTTTATTAACTTATAACAAAGTTTCCCAAGGGTGCCTTTGATACCATCTACCAACCCATTCAACTGAATTAAGCATACTGCATGACAGTGTACCCACTTAGTGTTATTGTTAAAGATGTTGTATGCTGGGCGGTATCTGATATGTTTATAAAGTGGTCCTGTCTGGGGAAGAAACTTATAAGGTGAGGGGAACCAGGAAGTGAAAGGAACAAAGTATGTATCTAGCCTGAAAAGAAATGAAGAAATAAGGAGCCAGCCCAGTGGCGTAGTGGTTACGTTCACATGCTCCACTTTGGCGGCCCAGGGTTTGCAGTTCCGGATCCTAGGCGCAGACCTAAGCACTGCTTATCAAGCCATGCTATGGCAGGTATCCCACATATAAAGTAGAGGAAGATGGACATGGATGTTAGCCCAGGGCCAATCTTCCTCAGCAAAAAGAGGATGAGTAGCAGCAGATGTTAGCTCAGAGCTAATCTTCCTCACCAAAAAAAAAAAAAAAAAGAAATAGAAATGAAGAAATAGAATTAGAACGTGATTCCACTGAGGGAAAAAAAAATGGAAAGGGCAAATTTAAAATTATAATCAAAAACATGTATGCATGCATATATATGCAAATATATGTATATTTTTTATTTATATAACAAACCAAACCCACAACTCATTAACTGCAATTTCACTTTTGTTGTTCACAGGAGACCAAAATCAACTGTGTTCGACTGGCTACGAAAGGTATGTTGGCATGTCCTTGTGTGTTCTCAGCTATTCTTTAGCCGTTTATGTATTTCTCCCTCTAGCCACAAAGGGAAAGTTTAGGCAATGATGACTAAAAACAACAAGAAAAAATTGTTATTTTCATTGGAGTTATTTGCATCTAGGGATTAATATATACCTAGGGTATACATTAATAATTAACACAGTGCCTAAAGCATAGTAAGATTCAAAACATATTTGTTGAATCAAAGGATGAATGGATAGACGGATGGATGGGTGGACGGATGGACTGGTGCATTAATTAGTGGAGTGGTGAATATAAATTTACTCAAATATTCTTCTGCTATATATTTTCATTGTATTTATGTCTGTGTTTATGTGGGTATTTTTTAAGCATTTCTATTAGACCTATCTTCTGGGTTTTGTACTTTATTCAATTGGCACAGAGCTTTCAAAAATGGGGTGATTAGTGTTGGTGCCTTCAATAATGAGAAAACAAACATTGCATTGTTTTGTAGTTGGCATTTTCGACACTTATCCCAAAAACTAAGACAGCATTGTTCAGGCTCATCACTTTTTGTTTCCCTAATTGTAATTGAATTTCCTGGCTCTTTCAACTGGTACATGTTTCTGTTTATTACTCTTTAAAAAAAATCAATGAATGGTTTGTTATCATTTAACCTATTACAAGGTTGAATAGTTAGAAATCAGGTTTATCTTTTTGTTACAGAATTGATATTTTTAACAACTATCCTCCTCATATAAACACACCAAAACTGGGCAATTCTATTCTGTTCCCTGCATTTATTGACAGCATATATAGTTTCGTAGGTTGCTTCCATGGAGATCACAATTGTAAATATAAGTAGGCATATAATCAGAGGTATAAATTATAAACAAAGACGATGACCCACGTATGTATATACATTTGTGAATATATACACACATGCATACACATGCAGAGGAAAATGCACATGCATGGGGGGAGGAGAAAAGACAGAGAGAGAGAGACAGAAGAAGATCTACAGTTATTTGACAAAACATGCACCAAGACCTATCATGCATGACTCTTATAACTTTGAAGAAAATTAGATCAACATGTAGGCAGAAAAGAGAAAATGCAGGAGGAAGGAGAAGACAGAAGCACTAAGGGCTCACTATGATAGGAACTCACCTTGATGTCACATAAGTCATGAGAAGTCGGCATGTCCCTAACTTGTTCCCTCTCAGGAACTCAGGCTACTGGACAGTAAGAGATAAAATACTCTTTGTGAGGCGAGGAGAATTAATGACCCGGAAACAAAAGTGACACAAATCACAGGCCTTGGCAGACTTTCTCACTGAAGAAAACAGATAATCTAGAAGGAAGTCCATCATCAATTGGATAGCACTAGAGCTCTGGACTGCAAGCAGGACAGCTGGGCGTCTGCAGCATCCTGCTTAAACAGGCAGCCAGAGAGGGAAGAGAACTTACAGAGAAGCCTTCTCTGTGACGGTGTTCCATGGCTCCCCTCTGGCTTTTGACCTCTAGAGGGAGGGGTTGATGCGTTAGTTCTGCCCTCCATGAGGTATGTGAGATTCTAAGGACACCCTCTAGGACATAAGGCCCACTCAAGGGTAGTTTGTTGGATCATATTTTCTATACTGAGGATTGGGAACATGTGACTGGACAGTAATAAGCACATATGGGGACTTCAAGGGAGAATATTTAAAATGATACTTTCCTATAAGCCAGAAAGAGAAAGACAAACAGTGCATGATTTCACTCATATGTGGAAGATAAACCAACGCACGGACAGATAGAACTATTTGGTGGTTACCAGGGGCT